GCTGCAGAAGCCAGCAGACAGAAGGACGCTGCAGAAGCCAGCAGACAAAGGACGCAGGCTTTCTAGCCACCGGCTGCCACACAGCAAGGCTCACGAGCTTCTGGAGCTTGCCTGCTTTGGATATGTTAAAAGAAAAACCAGGAACGGACAGGTACTCTCAGAGGGGCCCACAAAGACACCAGTGGGGGACTGTCCAGGCGGTTGTTCACAGAGATGCCCTGCCGATCATAAGCAGCAACAAGGGGCGTTCCACAGAGATACAGTGAAAGATATCAAGGTGGGGCCTAGAGGTGTAGCTTAGTGGTGGGCACTTGCACAGGGCTCTGAGTTCAATCCGCAGCACCACCAAGAAGAATCCAGAAACGAGAGAAAAGGAGAGAGGGACGAGAACAGTTGCATTACTAAGGTATGAGGTCCTGGACAGAAGAGAGAGACAAACCAGCTTTTACCACATATGTGATAGAAACTTCATTTAACTTCCTTTGGTTTGGTTTTGTTATTATCTGTCTTTTCTGGTACTGAAGAATAAGCCTGGGCCTCTCAGTCACTAGCAAGCAGTCTAACTAAATCACATCCCAGCCCTTCTCTAATATTTGTATTTCACGTCAGGATCTAACTTGCCCATGCTGCCTTTGAACTTACTCTACAGTCCAAATGGGCCTTGAAATTGCAATCCTTCTGCCTCAATTCCCCAAACAGCTAGCTAGGTCGTGACAAGCCACAGACATCCAACCTGGCTGGAAACTGGATTTAGGCAAGAGAAGACACATCCACAACACACCCTGAGGAACTAACAGGAGCCTGACTTCTCTATGCCATCTGCAGGAGTCGCCAGAAACATCTGACAGGCATAATTAGGTCTCATGACGGGGTGTGGGAAGAAGCTGACACATCAAAGGACGTCACAGAGCGGGCGGGCGGCCCAGTCAAGGCGGGGGCTTCCTCACGCTGTACTCCGGAGAGCCGTGGCCGTGGCCCTGCTTCTGCTGGCATTTTAAAAAAACGACTCAGACTGCCACCTGGATAGGACTGTCCTGTTTTCATACCCACTTCCCATCCTTACCCAGCCCGGTCACTCCTCCTCCCACGAACTCGTCTAGAACCTTCCACTCCCGATCTCTTCCTCTATCCGAAAACCACCCACCTCCTGGCTGCTACCAAACTCACCTCAGACTTCCCTCCGTGGTGCTAACACCATCAGCCAACTTCAGAACATCTGGCAATTAGCCCCACTCCTTGCCAGTTCAAACACTCAGAACCAGCTTGGCCCAGCGCTTGGCCCAGCTGTCGTTCATTTGTTTATTAGGAGATAGGGTCTGCCTGTGTGTAGCTACGCTGGCCTTGAGCTGGCAGCAATGCTCCTGCCCCAGCCTCGGAAGTGCTCAGAGTTATAGGTGCACAGCTACCAACTTTGTCTTCCTCTTCTGGTGGCAAGGATTGGGGGATGTCATTCCACGTGCTGCGAGCTTGTGTGGTCTGTGCAAGGACGAGGCTTCCGTCCTCAGTTCCACAAAGTGAATGTGTAAAGCTACAGCGGCACACCACGGTGAACACTGGACCTCTCAAGAACATTGGAAAGGAAGCCTTCACACACCTACCCGCCACAGCCCGGGGCAAAGCCCTCTCCAAAGTACAAACGGAGGACCCCACTCAGCTGTAGAGCGTGGGCTTCCAGGAGAACAGCATCGTATGAACGTCAAACAAAAGTGGAGACAAGGAGACAAGGGGAGTCCGAGGAAAGCATGACGAGGCATGCAGGTGAGCCCCAGCCAGTCGGAGGACCTGGCTTCTTCAGCCGCCCGGGCATGCGGGATGCCCATCTTCTGTCTCCCACCCTCACTGAGCATCAGGGCACTGCACCCCGCTGCCTCCACCCTCGGGGCATTGCGCTGGGCAGCGCCTGGCAGGAGCTCACCCTTCTGCTGCCTCTTGCTTCCAGCAGCCAGACTCGGGGAGGATCAGCGTTGGGATCTCTGGGCTGCCGAGCCCTATCTCTTCGGCACAAAGCAATACTATACACAGAAGACAGACCGGCAGGGCAGCAGCAGAGGCGAGGGTGTAAAAACACTAGCTCTCAACTTACTACTTTTCCTTCTCGACTTTCACGAAAAGTTCCTAGGTGCTGAGGACTGCAGCTCGCGTGGAAATGAGAAGGTCTGAGTCCCGGCCTCCCCGACTCAGGGGCGTCTAGAGCAACCTCAACCCTCCCACTCTCCCGCCTGAGGCTTTTTAAAAGACAAGGATTCGTAGATTAAACACAAAGCCTCGGGCTGAAAGGCTTTTTTGGGGGTGGGGTGGGGAGGTCTCATGTAGCCCAGGCTGACTCTTGATCTTATCTTCACCCCTGAAAGCTGGGTCGCCGGGCACGAAGCACCCACCACACGCGGTCGTCCTCACAGAAACGGGTCTTAACGCCAGGCAAGAACCCCGCAACAAGGCTCACCCCAGCCCCACCGGGCAGTCTTCTCAGAAAAGGGCTCTGCTGAAGGGCGCCGCGGGTGTCGCCACCAGCGCTTCGCCGGTGTAAGCGCCGGGGGCCTCGGCGGGCCGGCCCGTCCTGGTCATCGGGGGCTTGAGGAAAAGCCCCGGCCTGCCGCCGCCGGCGAACTCGGCCCTCTGCTACCGGCCAGCCCGGCGCGTGCACACGCAGCACGCGAGTGTTTGCACTTCTCAGCGCTGCCCTCACTCGTGCGCAAAGACCCTAAATGCGCGTCTCAGAGAAAAGCTTGCAGGGAGACGGCCCCATCTTTCGGAGAGCTGTTCTCTCCGCTATTTGTCTCACGCTCAAAACAAGGAACGCACTTAAAACGTCACCAGAAAAGCACGTGACCACCAGCCTGGCGCGCTGAGTGCTTGAGTGCTTTTCATTAGTTTCCCACTAACGCCCCCGCCCCTCTCCCAGCCGTCGCTAAGCCTCCATGTTCAGCCCCATCGCGGGCTCCTTCCTCACCCCGTGGAAAAGCGTCTGGATTTGGGAGTGTCAAGCCGGCTGCGGCGCGCAAAGCCTTAGTTCCTCGACAGACTCGGCTGCCCCGGGGCCACGACTTTGCTCTCTGACTTCAGTTCGCCCGGCCCTGACTCTCACTGTCCAGGCTGGTGTCGAACTCACACCCCTCCGCGCAGCGTCGCGGGTGCTGCTTACAGGCGTGCTCCGCCGAACAAGGCTCAGAGGGCAGTTCCCGCGCGCGCAGAGACAACTGCAAACATGGCTGCTCCCTCCCGGGAAGAATGTGACCCCGGCTACTGTGCGCGCCCGGCGCCAGCCCAGACGACGCCCCGGGCTGCCCCACCCGGCCCCGAACCCGCGGCCCCGCGCGCGCCCGCGGCCTGGCCGGGGAGGCTCACCGTCGCTGGAGTTGGCCTGGGCCTCGGCGGTGCGCGCCGCCAGGGCCGCCAGGACCAGCAGCCGCAGCCGCCACATCGCCGCGGGCCGCGCGCGGGCGGACGGCTGCTGCCCGGAGCGAGCGC